AAAAGCCATTACCGGATTCGGTAGTTCACCCCCGTCTCAAACAAACTATAAACCCTCAACCTCGCCTCGCTCGCACTGGAATTCCTATACAGAAACCTCACCTTCAGGTCCTTAACCTCGGGGTACTCCTCCTCCCCATCCCTCCCCTTGGTCGTATTCACCGTGCTGAAGAGCTCAAAAAGCATCACCGCCCCCGGGTAAGGGAGCTCACGAAACAGCTCCCTGCTCGCGCCTGCATCCAGCCTCGACAGCGCAAAAAACGCAACAAAGGGCTCGAATGACGAAAAGAGGAGGTTGAGCTTGCTGGTGGAACCCGCCGAACGGATGTTGTCTACCAGCAGGGATTTTGTGTAGCTTGCCAAGGTGCGCCCGGCGATGGTCCTGATGGGGAGGGAGAGGTTCCCGTGGCGGGAGCGGATTTCGCTCGAGGCCAGGGAGCGGAGGCGGGGAAGTTCACCTTCGGCAAAAAGGGGAGATAGCAACGGGTTGTGGAGGTGGTGGTAGGCGGCGTAGTCGTAGATGTTGTAGGCCTGAAGAAAGTCGAGCTGGTCCAAGGGCAGGGAGGAAGAGTTGAAGATGCGGGCGTAGAGGCTTGCGTAAAAGGAGGACGAGGTGGAGAGGTTGGACGAGGGGGTTTCTTCGCTTGGAAAACTGGCCATGGACTGCAAAAAGGAAGGGCAGTGGGAGGAGCCGTCGAGGTAGATGGAGTCTGGGTTGAAGAGGCGGGAGAGGGTTTGGATTTGGGGGTATTGGTAGCCGTCGAGGGGGTAGGTCATTGTTGTTCCGTTTGCTAGGGTGGCGGCGATGGCACCGCCGGTGGAGTTGGAGGGTTTGATGGTGGTGGGGGGGTAGAGGCCTTGGAAGAAGGCCATGGCCGAGGCGATGTTGTAGGTGTCGGTGGTGGACATGGCTCTGAGCTGGCGGTTGTTGATGGTGTATTGCTCTATTCCGTGGATGGGGGCGATGTCGTCGAGGCCGTTACTATCGATGTCATCGTCGTCGTCGTCGTCGTCGTCGTCAGGGGAGGATTTCCAAAGGTAACGGGTTCGCAGGGCGGCGCCTTGGGCTTTGAGCTGTTGCGCGCCGAGGGGGGTGAGGGTTGGGTTGTCTGACAGCAAAGGGGTGCGGTCGCCGTAGAGGATCCAAGCGACGGAGGACCAGACTCGCACGTTGGATTGCGCAAGGGTGGTTGTGGCCAGGAGAGCGGCGACGAGGACCGTCGTGGAAGAGAGGGTGGCCATCCTGTTGAGGCGATCAGGATGTGTAGGGATAAATTGGGCGGTGGTGGTTAACACATGCAGAGGCAGAGGAGACAGAAGTGAGGTTCTAGGGGACAGGTACTACAGTGATTGATTCAAGTATCCCGAGGTAGGTGAGAGAGAAGGGGGGAAAAGGGCCCAAAGACAGACTTCTTTTGAGAATTCTCTTCTTCTCCGAGCCTGGTGGAAGCTCTCACCGAGTCCGGCATGCAATAAACAAGGAAAGCTCCAACTCAAGTGCTCTCCTCGGAGCTTTCCACCACCAGCCTGTCTCTCTCCCACTGGCCTCTTTGTCCGGTGTGCATGGTGTGCTCAACGAGTCAGGCCTGCTTTCGGCGGGGGAAAGATGAGGGGTAGGTAGGTATCTACCCAGAAAGCACGACATGGAAAGCAAAGCTGCCGTCAAGTGCCCCTCGAACTGATAAAGCTTGGAGAAGACCGATAAGAAGATTATGATAAACAGATGGCACGTGCACCGACATTTGACAAGAGGGCGGGCCAATCAGCAGGGATCGCCGTAAGTGCTTGCAGGGATGTGATCCGCTATTGCAACGCCAAGGGAGTCTAGCCGGGTTGGACGATTATCGAAACGCTGGAACAAATCCATCCATGTTTGGTGTGCTGACGTCCAGCTCAACTTGTCAGCTGTCAGCTGTGATGTTGCTCGCTGGACAAACGGAAGCTTTTTCCGTGTCGGTCAGTTTGATGTTGTTGTTTCTCCGGCATCATGAAGAATATTTCAATTGATAGTGTTTCTTATGAGCTCATACTGACAGAAAGACAGCCAGCTGAAGGGACGTCGTCGTGGTTCGTCGTGGATAGACGAGGCCCCACACGCTTCTTTGGATCGACGGGTAGCGCGTTGGTCGCCATCGGTTGGGGCCCTGCAAGGCTGGCGGTGGTGCAGGGTTCATGTCTTGGACTCTCCATGAACAAATGCATTGTTGTTGAAGAAAAACTGCCGAAAGGCATTGGTCTCGGCTTTATGATGTCTGAATATCAACCTCCCGTGTCTCTCTACTGGAAACAATCACGACGTGATCAACTCTCAGGAGGTCCAGCTGGTCAAGTAGCAACGCGGCAAAGATGAGGGGGACAGTCTGAGAGAAAATGCGCTTGGAAACACGGGCTCCCCGCCTTCTGGACCCGTCGCTTTTTTTACACGTCAGGTACCTACCTACCTCCCCCTCGAAGTGGGCTCTGAGGTCAGCAACACCAGTAAAGTCGCATTCAGCCACGTTCCCCGACGTTCTGTGCCGTCTCCCAGAGACCTGGACCTGCTGCTGTCACTCTTTTTTGCTCAGACACAAACCGGACCTGACAGAGGAACAAACTTGCACCAGTTGGTAAACAGGGGGGCTGAGTTTGCTAGAAAAACCACACCTGTTTCCATTGGTCAATTTGCCGCCATCGCATCCCAAAGGGAGCCAGAAGATGGCCGAGATGCCCGAACCCCAAGGGTTGCTTCAATGCTTCGTGTCAAAAGGTAGAGAGCTCTTTTGCCAGCAGTAGACTCGATTCAACAGCTCAGCAGCATCAGTTGTCTGCAGAGCTATCAATACGGTGCCGCCTCGCCGCCTCGCCGCCTCCGGACCCCAACGCACCAGGAGGTGGTGAGGGAAGGGGAAAAGGTGGGTTCAATCGCCGAGCGTGTGAGCACGAGAGCGGCGTGCAGAAAACCCCCCGGCGGTGCTGCACCCAAGTCCCTTCTGGGAATGGAAATTGCGCCGTTGGGCCTGGGTCTCGTTAATCTTTCCTCTCCCTCCCTCTCTCTCCCTCTCTCTCTTCTGCATTTTCTGTCTATCCTTCTTTTCGTCATCTCATCTCTTCAGACGACAAGACTCTAAAACGACAAACACCAAGGAATTGTGCAACTTTTTGTCGAGGACGAAACATCAACGCCAAGCAGCTGTGACATTGGATGGGTTGACGACGAATTGATATCGGATAACAACGAGCGGGCGGCTCAAAGATGGCGGCCATCGGTCCGTTGACCACGACCTTCTCGGCTCCGTCGAGTTGTGCGACGGTTCTTTCCAACTTTTACGAGGTTTTTGAGGGGGATAAGGAGTCGAGTTATGTTCAGGGGCCGCTATTCCCAACACATAAAGACTGTTTCCCGAGTGGTTATGATCCGGAACCGACAAAATACTACTCGCCTGGGTTCTGCCCGCAGGAGTATACAGCTGCATGCTCGAGTGTTCGCACATCAAGCACCGTGACGGAAACCGCCATTGCCTGCTGTCCAAAGTATGTTGATATCTCACGCTCACGGAAGACTTGAGCGCTAACATGCACGTCCAGTTATGGTGTCGAATACACCTGCGCAACCGAATCAAAGCCGGAATCAGGATGCACCACGGTCTGGCAAGGCGGCGCCGGCGAACTCAAGCCAATCGTCATCAAAAACTCCACCATCGCCAGCACTGCAACCGTCACCCTCAGAGGAGGCGCGATATCAGCCTATGCAGTTCAGATCCGCTTCCAAGCCTCTGATCTCTCCGTATGTCTCCCCCTTCCCCCTTTTCGTCCGTGTACATACTAACCCCCTATCTAGAACGCCCTCATCCCCTCCCGAACAGCAGCCATCCCCCCCGCAACCAACGTCCTTCTCCCCCCAGACAACACCAGCTCCTCGTCCGCCGGCCTAAGCTCAACAGCCATAATCGGCATCGCCGTCGGCGGCGGCCTGGGGTTTTTCATCATTTTTTCCTCGCTATGTCTCTGGTGCTACATGCGCCGTCGCAGGAAACAATACGCCCCCAAACAAAAACCCCCCCAACTCGGAAGCGGCGCCCCTTCACGCTACAGCACCCGCTCCCACCCCCACCATACCTTCTACGACGACACAAACAGTCAACATACAGCCCCAACCCCATCCTACCGCTCCCAACGCTCCCATCGATCCTCCTCCCGAATGCACCACAACACCATTCCCGAGCACGCCGAAGCACCCCCCGTCCCTCCCAAAGAAAAATCGGTTTCTTACCGTGCCATCCCGCCACCGTACGAGCTATCGGAGGAACCTTCCCCAAGGCTGGGTGGTGGGTACGGGAAGAGAAGCCAGAGCTTGCTGCACAGTCCGGGCAGTGTGAGGACGTATGAAAGTAAAAGGAGCCATGGGAGGGGGGATAGCGGGGTGATGTACGGGGTGGGGATTCAAGTTCCCATCGGGACGAGGGCGCCAGCCGAGCTGGAGGCGGAGGTGCCGGTTGAGAGGGAAAGGGCGGCGAGTCCGGAGAGTGGGATGACGGGGTGGACGGGGGTCACGCAGGCTACCGGGAGTAGTGGCGGGTTGACGGATACGAGGCTGGGGAGGGGGGCGGCGAGTCCGTTGGGGTGGTTGTGATTGGGAGGGTGGTGGTTACCTGGGGAGGTGAGGGTAAACAAGCAAGATCAAAGCGCATGAGTGAGGAAGTTGGGTGGGGGTGGGGGGGGGGGAGATCTGTTTCATATATTATATCATTTCTGGGATTTGGACTTTGGGAACGGTGGCTTTTCATGTTTGATTTTACTTGGGAAACGGGCGGGTATTTCATCAGCGTGATTACTGGGGATGGATGGATTATTTGGGGCTATGTTAGACGGACTTTGGATAGGTTATATCATGACTTTTTTGGTTTTTTTGAAAGGGGGTGGATGGATGGATGGATGGATGGATGGATGACTGGGGACGGGAATTGGGTTTTTCAACGGCGGTGTAGATGAGGGTTGGGTGGGTTAATGAAACTCCTTGAATTGCTGAATGTTTATACTGAGCTGTATTTTGTATTATTATTATGATTATTTGTTTCAAAAACTACATTTACGAACATCTGTGATGAGTAAGAGAGTGTGTTGAGTGATGCCAGCCCGTGCCACCCGCCAGCCACCTGCCCACCTACCCAAACCAACCAACGACGCGGTTTGCGCGCCGCGCCAGTTGCGCAAAATGCCAAGCCAAAATTTCCCCCAAGCTTGCTTGCTGGTCGCATTCGCTGTTATCAACTAATTATCGACTGACTATCCACCACCACCATCATCAATCACCACAACGACGACGACCACGACCACGACGACCACGACGACAACGGCTCCCGCCCACCACACATCTATCACCCCATACAGTCAACGGGAGAGAAAAAGCAAAAATGTCCTCCTTCGTCCCCGTCAACCCCCGGCCCTTCCTCCAAGACCTCGTCAACAAGGACGTGATCGTCCGCCTAAAGTGGAACGAGACAGAGTACAAGGGGAGATTAGTCGTATGTTTTTTATCCCAAAAGTGCAATAGAAACAATCGGTACACTGACGATATGACGACGGCAAAACAAAACAGAGCATCGACTCCTACATGAACATCCAGCTCGCCAACACGGAGGAGTTCATTGAGCAAAAGTTCACGGGCACCCTCGGCCAGGTCCTGATCCGGTGTAATAATGTGCTTTATGTAAGGGGTGCTGAGGGGGGGGACAAGGGGGGGGATACGAAGATGGAGGAGTGAGCGGCGGGCGTGGGGCTGAAGTTTTAAGATCGAGAGTGGGATGGATAGAGAACGCAATAGGACATTGACGCGAGGTCGCGATTGGGGAGGGACTGGGTCTCACATGGGGGGGTTAATACCAACAAGACGATGACGGCGCAAAACATTTCTACATTGCCGCCAGTGTCATCACGATAACTTGACTGGCCCAACAGAAGGGGAGGAGGACATTATGCGGCGCAAAGAGCAAGTCGGAGAAGGGGGATGAAGGGCGGCAAAAAAGAAAAAGAAAAAGGCGTTACATAAAATCTTCCATGATAGAGATAAAAAATGGTAAGAGGTTTCTTCGCTGTCTGTCGATACCTCTCTCTCTCTCTCTCTGCTGACACAATGGGGCCAAAACCAAAGAGTCAGATATCTCAAAGTAGCAATTCAAAACCGACTTTTTAAAACACCCCTTCTTTTCCCTAGCCTACCATATACCCCCTCTACTATCCAACACAACTACATCAAACAAGCAACCTTCTTACTACTATGCATCTCGCTCGCCCCCACCTTGATCCTCGTCTGCGGCCCAACCCAGGCGTACACCTCGACCAGCCACTCATACCAAACCTTTGTGTCGTCCGTCTGCCTCCACATGCTAACCTCCAACTCGGCGTCCTGAGGAAAGTACAGCGGTTTCTAATCGTGCGTCATGTCAGCAAAACCGTCCTCCCCCCACCTCCCATTCTCCTTTTGCGAATGTTACATACCTTGAGCGGAAAAAAGATGGGAAACCAACTAATCATATCCTTACTCTTCCTATCGATCTGATCAGGCAAGATGCTAATCTCCACCTTTTTCCCCTCTCCCCCCCCCTCCAACTGGCTCTCATAAAGCGTCGACTCAAAATACCCCGCCAACCCATGAGTAACACCCCGCGTAGGGCAAACAAACGTCAAGTGACAGCGCCTGGCATTATGCTCGTTCGTCCCATTACTCCCATACATCGCCCCCCCGCCGGGAGTGACATACTTCCTCCCAAACCCATACTCAGCAGCAAACTCGTCCGCCCTGTTGACACCAACAGGATGAACAAACTCCCACGCCTGCTGAAACCTCGGGTGATTAGGGACCTTTTGCGCGTTGAAATCCAGCTGAAACAATCTAACAACATAAGGGATCTCAAACGCGTGCGGGTCTGACTCGCGGGAGGCGATGTCAGCAAACAGCCTCGGGGTGGAGATCGGGGAGAGGTGGGCGGTGTAGCTGTGAGGGATGGACATCCCGCTCGGTTGAAAGAGATGGTTCTGGATGCCATCCAGACATTCAGGCGACAGCTCATTGTCTCCAAACGAACCAAGGAGCTCCGTCACCAGTATGTCAACTTTGCACGGCGTAGACGACCCCCGGGGAACCGGCCCGCCCCAGCCGCGCATGTCTGTCTTGACGAGCGTCACCTGCCCGTCCCACTCCCGCTTGTTCTTGTTCAAGAGGTAGACAAACGCGTTCTGGTTCTTCTCCACGGCCCAGAGTTGGATCTTGGTGTTGGTTGCCTGTGCTGCGCGGAGGACACGAGTAACAAGAGGCCCACGGCCGGCGCCGGCGACAGCGCAGACGAGTTCTGGGTTGTAAGGCTCGCTCTCTGTCCCGAGGGCCGAGGGCTTCTTGAGGATCTTCCACTCGGCCATGGCTTCCTTGATGGCGGCTTCGTACTGGTCGTATTTGACCGGGTCGCCCTCGAAGACCTCGTAGGTGGCTGACTCGAGGTTGTCGGCGAGGGGCTGGAGGGGGGACTGGAGCCAGTCTTGGAAACTAGTCAAGGCTGGGGTTTCCATGGCCGTGTAGGGGGGTTGTTGGCGCTCGAGGTACTTCATGTACGAGACGTACTCGTTCAGGCCCGACTTGGGCTTGCGTTCCTGGAGGGCTTTGCTTGCTTCGGCGAGGGAGGGGTACTCGATCGCTTTGATGGCACGGGCGGCGCCGAGGTCTTCGGCGTTGGGGCCGACATCATTCAGGATGATCCAGGGGGCGTTCTTGAGACGCATGTAACGGTTGATGAGATCTTGGTGGTGCTTGGTGAGGGTTGGGCTGCCGGCTCGGTTGGACTGAAAGACGGACTGGCCGATGGTCAAGAAGTGCAATGGCTCCGAGAACCACCGCTCCTGGAGGTTCTTTTCCGGCACACGGCGAGGAATGCGGAGGGCGAGGAATAATCTGCTCGAGTACTCGCATACTGAGCGGATGGTGTGCCATGAGTCCCATGAAGTGAAGATGTCAATCTCTTTCTTGGGGTCAGCGTCCATACGGCTCCCGTCAAAGATATCCGAGAGCGTCTCGCACTTCTCCTCCAACAGGGGCTCGCGGTACATGGGCAGGTGAATGATCAGGTTAGCCCTTGTCACCTGAAGCAACGCCTCCTGAATCGCACGGGCAAACTGAGCAACACCACGGCCGCTCTCATCTTGCCTAGGCCCGGGGATCACGATGGTCCTGGCACCGCAGAAGTTGGCATAGGCGACCTCCATGTTGAGGACCTGGCGAGAGACGCCCGAGATGTACGGGTCTGTGGAGCAAAGGTCGATCCATGGGCTGGCATAGGTGATGAAGGAGCCGATGTGGTGGCTTGGGTACAGCGAGGTGTCCTCATCTGTCAGTGTAGGCACGATGGGTACTGGCAGAGACGGGTTCGTCCTTTGAGCCGGAGCCAGACGGTCGTTCCATTCTTGCCTCTCCTTGAGAAATTCCTTGTGCTGGTTGACAACCCTCCGGAAGAAATGCTGGTTGGTGATTGGGGCAGTGACAAAGTTGAACTAGACAGTCCGTGTTAGTGTTTGTTTACGCTCGGGAATCTGCAAGGGATCTTACTCCACTGTTAAGAACCTGGTTGTACTGGTCGTCGTCGAGGACCTCGCACCGGTCCGAGTCGTGCTGGCCAATGTAGTAATGAGGACGGGACTCGTAGTCCTCCGAGGCCGGGTTGAGGGCTCCTGAATACGACATGTTGGGGTCGATTTATGAGCTTGGGTAGAGTGAGTGTAGCGATGTGATAGAGGTGGTATATAAAAGCACATTCAGTTTGGCGGGGCTAACAACCACCGCGGGGTGATGGGACGGACGTCGAGTCGGACTTGGAGCAAAAGCAGGGGAAAACCCAAACTTGAATGATGATTCAAAGCTGCTCTATGATAGGTACAACGGGGCCCCAAAGTGAACTCGGGACTGTGCCACCACGTTTCTTCCCAATATGCCGATTGTCTAGGTGAGCCCGAACCCTGAGAGAAAATTTGGGTTGCTGTGCTTGGGTCAGGGCAGAAACAGTGTGGAACGCGGGGTGTGAGATCGGATAGAGTGATACATAAGCGACTTAATCTGTAGAGATGTTTGTTTTGACCTGTTCTGAGCTGCTGAGAGTAGAATGAGTAGACCTCTCCTCATCAAACCCACCTCGAAAACAATGTATAAATACTTGTCATAAATTCGACAAGTTAGCACTTGAAAGCTTGAACAGCTGTATAAGTCCCGGTGAGATAAATCGTATACTCTGTAAATGCTTATCGCCGGACTGGAGTCTTGATCGCCCCACTATCCAAAATTTTGGTGGAAACGCGGATGTGCTTGCCAAACAAAAAGTTGCGGCAGCCTTGTGGACGGCATCGACAGGGCAAGGCAAGCGCAAACAGTGAAATCCCCGCCATTCCATCTGTCTTGTGCAGAATCTCTCACCCCATCTCTGCACTCACTCCTCTCACCTTCGGAATGGCCGATCAAAAGGGCACGAAGCGATCGAGCGTGGAAAGCGACGCCCAGGACTCGAAGCGCATCAAGACCGACGACAAGCCCAACCCATATCTCGCCCACCTCAACATGGACGGCGCCAACGACTTCAAGTCGCCTCTCGACGAGATGGAGCGCCACAACACCACCGCCCTTCAGGCCGCGAAGGCTGAGGACTCGGACATCAACCCCTGGACCGGCAAGCCGCACTCGGAGAACTACTTCAAGATCCTCAGGACTCGTCGCGACCTGCCCGTCTCCAAGCAGCGCGAAGAGTTCCTCGAGCTCTACCACAAGACCCAGATTCTCGTCTTCGTCGGTGAGACTGGTTCCGGCAAAACCACACAGATCCCTCAGTATGTTCTTTACGACGAAATGCCACACCAGACCGGCAAGCTCATTGCTTGCACACAGCCTCGTCGTGTCGCCGCCATGTCGGTCGCCCAGCGTGTCGCAAACGAACTCGATGTTGAACTGGGTCAGGAAGTCGGTTACAGCATTCGTTTCGAGAACAGGACCGGCCCCAAGACTCTCCTCAAGTACATGACGGATGGTCAGCTGCTGCGCGAGGCCATGCACGATCCCAACATGAACCGGTACAGCTGCATCATTCTCGATGAAGCTCACGAACGTACGCTCGCCACCGATATCCTGATGGCCCTCCTCAAGGAGATCGCCCACAGAAGAAACGACCTGAAGATCATTGTCATGTCTGCCACGCTCGATGCGCAAAAGTTCCAGTCCTATTTCAGCTTGCGGAAGGAGGACCCTCCTGCCCCTTTGCTCGCCGTTCCCGGTCGCACACACCCTGTCGAGATCTTTTACACCCCCGAACCCGAGCGAGATTACGTCGAGGCCGCCGTCAGGACAGTTCTTCAGATTCATGCGGTTGAGCCCGAGGGTGACATCCTGCTCTTCCTGACGGGTGAAGAGGAGATTGAGGATGCCTGCCGCCGGATCAGTCTGGAGGTGGATGATATGGTCAGAGAATCAGACGCTGGTCCGCTGGCCATCTACCCTCTTTACGGTACTTTGCCACCACATCAACAACAAAAGATCTTCGACAAGGCCCCCGAGCCATTCCGGAAGGGGGGTCGTCCCGGCCGCAAGTGCATCGTGGCGACCAACATTGCCGAAACCTCGTTGACGATCGACGGTATCGTCTATGTCGTGGACCCTGGGTTCAGCAAGCAAAAGATCTACAACCCTCGCTCTCGTGTGGAATCGCTCTTGGTTTCTCCCATCTCCAAGGCCTCGGCCCAACAGAGAGCTGGTCGTGCCGGTCGTACCAGGCCGGGAAAGTGCTTCCGTCTCTACACCGAGAAGGCCTTCAAGAAAGAGCTTATTGAGCAGACTTATCCTGAAATTCTCCGGTCTAACCTCTCCAACACCATTCTTGAACTCAAGAAGCTTGGTGTCGAAGATTTGGTGCACTTTGACTTCATGGACCCACCAGCCCCTGAGACCATGATGCGCGCCCTCGAGGAACTCAACTACCTTGCCTGTCTCGATGATGACGGTGGTCTCACTAAGCTTGGGAGCTTGGCGTCTGAGTTCCCCTTGGATCCCGCTCTGGCCGTCATGCTCATCTCTTCTCCCGAGTTCTACTGCTCCAACGAGATCCTCTCCATCACCTCGTTGTTGTCGGTACCTCAAATATGGATCCGTCCCAACAACAACCGCAAGCGTGCCGACGAGATGAAGGCCCAGTTTGCCCACCCCGACGGCGACCACCTGACGCTTCTCAACGCCTACCACGCCTACAAGGGCGCCGAGCAAAACGGCGAGGACGTCAAGAAATGGTGCCACGAGCACTTTTTGTCGTTCCGTCACCTGTCCTCTGCCGACAATGTCCGGGCTCAGCTCAAGCGCATCATGGAAACGCACGAGATTGAGCTCGTGTCGACGCCGTTCAACAACAAGGACTATTACACCAACATTCGGCGGGCGCTGCTGGCGGGGTTTTTTATGCAGGTCGCCATGAGGGAGAGCTCGAATAGCAAGATTTACAAGACAGTGAAGGACGACCAGATGGTGATGATTCATCCGAGCACGGTGGTGTCGAGCCCGTATGATTGGGTGGTGTACAATGAGTTTGTGCTCACGACGAAGCAGTATATCCGGACGGTGACGAATGTTAGGCCCGAGTGGCTTCTTGTAAGTTTTCTTTTCTTTTTTTTGTTTTTTGTTTTTTGGGTGGGGGGGGGGGAGAAAGTGGAAGAAGAGGATTGCTAACTTTTTGGGGGGGGGGGGGTAAATATAGGAAATTGCGCCGGTTTATTATGATGTTGATACTTTTGAGAAGGGGGAGATCAAGTCTGCGCTGGTGAGGTTGACGGAGAAGGTGAAGAGGAGGCAGGCTATGAAGGGGGGGTATTGATTTGGTGTGTATGGGATGTGTTAATGTATCTGAGCATGTTGGGGGTTGGGGGTGGGGGGGGAAGGTAAAATAGACAATTTGATGATTTGGGACATGGTGCAATTTTTGGGCGTGTGTTGATGTGGGTAACTACCTAGTTGTGTTTACGGGGAAGCGTGAGACAGAGGGGCGAGCTTTTGCTTGCGGGTGGAAGATGAGGATTTCTGAACAGGAAGGGTTTACTTTCTTGCTGGATCGTGAGATACGTGATGTGTGCGATGGTTAGAGGGGGGAATGCTGTAGAGATTGTGGGACTTTGAGCAAGATTTGTAAGTTTGACGGGAGAGTAATGGTGGGGGGGTTGTCAGCTGTGTGAGAGAAGAAGGCGGGTGTGGGTGTGGGTGTGGGCTGGATGACGTCCAAGATTTATCATGGCTTTGTGGAGATGTCGAGGGAGAGGGATACTTTGTTAGGATAGTGGGTGTTATCGGGATGGTTGAATAAGGGGTAATTTGGGGGACGGACTAAGAGTTTTGGGTGACGTTTTTGTGAGATGACGCAGGAATGTGTGTGTATAAATGGTACTGGCTTGCGTGGTGATGGCGATGGTGGTGATAGGGAAGAGAGACAACAAGAATGATTGATCAAGCTGTGAATGTCACGCATGGAATCTTCTCCTTCCAGTCAAGAAAAGAAAAAAAAAATTGATGCTGCTCAAATTCTTCTAGAATCTCTCTATTCTACAACACAAAATCCGCTCGTGATATGAAAGGTGTGGAAGACAACCCCCCCGACAAGCAGGGGTATCATTTCCCCCAACCATTATCATCCCTCTCTTTACGATAGATAGCAGCTTTGCTCGCCGGTTTCATGGGTCCAAAAGGCATATCGAAGCAGTGAAACGTCAAACCCATCATCTCTACACCTTCGGTCCAATCAGTAGATAGGGAAGGAAAGCACATGCGGCTTGCCGAGGTATGGACGGCCGGCGGCCGGTCCGGGACATGGGCATTTTGCGCTCTGTTCCCCGAGACCTGACTGAGAAAGATGGCGTTTTGGTGGCTTGCTATGCAAATGCCGTGCTACCATGTCAATACAATGCTGCCGAGGCGGTCCAATCGGCTTTGGGTATATGCGAGCTGACAGTGGTGGGTATGTATGAGTTGGAACCCGGTGAATGGGGCCATGATGGGGAGGATCCCAAGCGTCTGGCCCTCTGTGGATTTTCCTTGTGTTGGGTTGTCTATCCCCGAGATATGTTCAGTTGGTGTTTGATGTCTCTCTCCTTCTCGGTGGGTTGACCTCCGCTGATACTGAGGTTGCAGTCAATTAGAGGTGATCAATGCAAAGCTACACTCGTCATGCTCATGGCCAATTGTCCTCGAGGATGGCAACAAGCAACATGAACCTCCATCCCGACCTATATTATAACGCGGCTTCAACACCCGGCGCCCGCCTGTGACACACCGCCCGGGATGGCCCGTCGAGTGTAGTAGTATTTGTGTGATATGTTCTGCTAGGCTGGCGCCATGTGTCGTGGCAGCTGCCGTGGGGAAGCCGGAAAGGCATGATAGGTGCCGAATTTCTTGGTTTGTGTCGTATTCTCGAAGAATGACACTATTTCTGAGGCTCATGACGCTGCTGCGGTGTAGAGGAGGTGTCAAGTATGCCTGGAGGAAGGGAGATTGACCAAGGGGTGATTCCCTGTAGCTGTATTATCGTGGGTGTTACGACAGGCGGGCAAGTGATATGCTGATACCCGCCTGGATACTCCGTGTCTCTAGAGATGGCGCTTCGAAGAGTGGGTATATTTGAGTCAGATATTGTGGTCTGTGAGAGGTCTCTGCTGTGAAATCTTTTCTGGACCTGTGAGTGAGCGAGACTGTCGTTGTACCATAATCATATCATGGTCAAGAGCAGCGCAAATCTCATGATGTAAGCGGTGAAAAGCAAAGGCAAATCGATGGTACTGGTCAAGTCCGGTTATAGCACCCGGACAGTGGGTTCCATCGAGGCCGCAAGGATTGAAGACCCCGTGATAACCAAACGCGGCATAGGCCGGGGAAGAGTCGCAACTGAGGTGAATTGAGGGTTTCTGTTCTCGACGTGATAGCTGAGAAGTCACAAAGTCAAGAATAGAGAGGAATCTCATGCAAGGCCCATGTGAAGATGCACGGAGTACCCGCTTCCAACGCTACCTCACGGTCTGATGGGAGAGGAAACAAGGCTGGATGCATGTTTGCAGGAAAAGTGACGACCCTGTTGTGTTGGAGAACTTGTTGCTTCGTCGATCGACATATTGGGAAAGAATCGCCCTCTTGATGGCCTAGAGCGTCTGGCTGCATGGCATCATGGCCGAACTTGGATTCTGTGGGCGTCCTGAAATCTGCGTAATACTTCGGGGAAAACTTGAGGTTTGTAGCATTATGGCACAAGGTATCTGTTCGAGGCAGCGAGCACTGAAGACAGTGAGAACACTGTGTTAGCCCCACTGACCCGCGAGCCGCTAGCCTGCAGTGGATCCCCACTGACAGACCGGGACTGGCCCTGTTGCTTGTTTCTGACACCATTTCTCAACAGGCAGCGATCGCTGGCGGGCAGAACCCACATTCACATTGCTTCTTTTCTTCTGCCGACGGGAGAAGCTTCTTTTTTCAGCCGCAACAGTCGAAGAGATACGGATCTCGAAAAAAAAAAAGACTGACAATGGCATGTCAAGACCAATTTGTGTCACCTTCTTGGCTCCCGCCTCGACCCACCCGGCCCGTCTGACACAACATCACACAACACAACGCAAGGAGAAAAGGGACCTCACTGCTCGGGTAGCACAAGGAGACGGGAACGACAAGTCAGTGCTGCTAGTGGGGGTACACTGAAGAAGCACCTCTGCCCGCCAACACTCCCTATTCGTCGCCCACAAGGCAGGACGTTGAGACGGGGCCCGATGCACCTCCGGAGCACCACCCTCAACACCCCCGGCTTTTTCCCAAATTTATTTCGCTCGCTCGTATCGTGCCTTGAGCCCACAGCGCAACGACAGAAATGCTCCCCCGTAATTCCAGTTTTCCAAAACATTCCCGAACTCGGCCTTGGGCTTCGCTAACCGGCCTGAAACTATCGTTTTACAAGCACGGAAAATGGCGCCGGGTTGGTGGTCTCCCAACCCCCCTCATCAACAAAAAATGGGGGGGCTGGAACCCTTGTGAACCAGGGAA